TTCTCAACGTATAATGTCAACGTTGCAATAACATTTACTAAATTATTTGAATTATATGTAGTTTTCTTACTTCTAATCAATCCCTCGATGAATTCAGGTAAATCTAACGTTGATTTTCAACGTATAAATATGATAATATTATATAATCACCTGAAACGTTCAACTAAAACGTATAACTGCAGCTATTGGTGTACGTATAATCAAAGTGGAATTTCAACGTAAACGTAGAATTCACGAAATCATTCAAATTGTATGTAGCAACCCAACCGTCTACGTAACGTAATTTTTCAATGTATAATTACAACATTATCATGTTATCATCCATAACGTTGATCTGGAACGTAGATATAAGAACATACGCGTACGTATGATCAACGTGAAATTGCTACAGAAAAATTGAATATTGCTTCAAGTCATGTTCCAACGTATAAATACGATATTAAATAAACGTTGAACAAAAACGTATGTATAAATCTATTCCTACAAGTATAAATCAACGTAAAATGTGAACGTAAAAATGTTATTTATGAAATCATGCGAGTTATATGTGACATTCTCTCCATTTATTTAACGTTGTTTTTCAACTTATAATCAACTTGAAATTATAGCGTGAAATTTTAGATGATGAAATCCTCAGAATTATATGTTGTATTATTTTCTTTTATTGAACGTTGTTTTTCAACGTCAAATTTCAACGTTAGAATAAAATTCATTAAATCATTCAAATTATATGTAGCAACCCTACAATTTTTTAACGTTGTTCTTGAACATATATCTACTATATAATTATGTTATCAACCGAAACGTTGAACAAAAATGTATGTATAAATATATTTCTGTAAGTATGAATCAACGTAAAATGTGAACGTAGAAATGTTATTCATGAAATCATGCGAGTTATATGTGGCATTCTTTCCATTTATTTAACGTTGTTTTTCAACTTATAATCAACGTGGAATTAAAACGTTAAATTTTAGATGACGGAATCTTCAGAATTATATGTTGCATTATTTCGTTTTCTGAAACGTTGCATTTCAACGTAAAATTTCAACATTAGAATAAAATTCATTAAATCATTCAAATTATATGTAGCAACCCTACATTTTTTTAACGTTGTTTTTGACATATAACTACTATATAATTATGTTATCAACCGAAACGTTGAACAAAAACGTATGTATAAATTTATTCCTATAAGTATAAATCAACGTAAAATGTCAACGTAAAAATGTAATTCGCGAAATCATGCGAGATATATGTGGCTTTCTTCCCATCTATTCATCGTTGTTTTTCAACTTATAATAAACGAGAAATTATAACACAAAATTTAAGATAATAAAATCATTATAATTAAATATTGCATTATTTCCTTATATTAAACGTTGCTTTTCAACGTTAGAATAAAATTCATCAAATCATTCAAATTATATGTAGCAACCTTAAATGTTTTTTTACGTTATTCTTGAACATATTACTACTATATAATTATGTTATCAACGGAAACGTTGAACTATAACGTATATATAAAAATATACGTAAACCTGTAATCAACTTCGAAATTCAACGTAAAAATATGATGGATTAAATGATTCAGATTATATGCAGTATTCTTACATTTTAATAAACGTTGTTTTTGCAACGCAGAATCAATGTGAAATTTCAACGTGAAAATGAGATATATTAAATCATTCAAATTATATGTAGCATTCTTGCCTCTTATTAAACGTTATTTATCATCGTAAAAATTGAATTTAATTAATCATCTAAATTATATGCTGCCTAGTCACCTTTCATCAAACGTATTATTCCAACCTTTAATTGAATGTTAATTTTCTACGTGAAAATATAATTTATCAGTCAATGTTAGAATAAAATTCATTAAATCATTCAAATTATATGTAGCAACACTACATGTTTTTTAACGTTGTTTTCGAACGTATGACTACTATATAATTATGTTATCAACCGAAACGTTGAACTACAACGTAAAATTATGATGTATTAAATGATTCAAATTATATGCATCATTCTTACATTTTAATAAACCTTGTTTCTGCAACGCAGAATCAACGTGAAATTTCAACGTGAAAATGGGATTTATCGAATCATTCAAATTATATGTAGCATTCTTGCTCGTCTACGTATAATTAACGTTAATCTAAAAGTAATGTAATGTATTCAATCATTCAAATTATATTTGGTAGCCTTGCCTTTCATCTATTTTCTTTCTTACAACCTTCGAAAACCGGTAAAAACGACGGCACTAAATTGCCATCCCCGAGCAGTTTTTTTCAACACCTATTTTATAAATAAAAAACAGATATTTTATAAATATTTTATAAATAAAAAATTTTACAGGCTACTTTTGGGCCAGCATTTTGTTCAAATGATTTTTTTCAGGACCTTTAAAAACTCAACACAACTAACTATTAAAATATTCATAGTTAGAAAAAACAATAGGAACTAGTAATAAATAACCTCTTTTATGGTTGATTCAACCATCAGCAAAATACAAAAAGTGAAATTATCATTATTTTCCTGTCCAAACATTTCCAGCATGTCCCATTTTTCATGAACACATCTTGTAAGTTGTGAAAAATTATATTTTATACAACCGAGTAGGATTGGTTGACAAAATATTATTTTCAATGCCAAAATAGGTAGTGCATATTCCCATTTTCTAATTCAATAGTTTTGGTTTGTCCAGGAGTTCTCATAAGAATTCTATAATCTTTAAGCAGCAAAAATAAAAACAGCATTCAGTATACATAAAGGAAATTTGTAATTGCAAGTTAAATTATATTCATTAACCCATTATCTGAGCTTCTGCTTTATCTCTATAGAAACATCAAAGGTAATATCTACACTGTGTCCATAAAGTCACCCCCCCTTGGTTATTTTTCGAACGACTGGGATTTTTTTTTTCAAAATATTTTTGGTCACATGGTAGTTTAGGTACTACATTTTGACACCGATAAGAAATATGTATCTTTCAAAATGGCGGCTGGACGCCATTTTGAAAGTTTCTTTCAAATGAAATGGGGGGTCAAATGATACCTCATTTTGAAGGTCTTCTAATTCTCAATTGAACCCTAGAATTTCAGATTAAAATATTCATCCAAAACAAAATGGCGGATGATAATGTTTGAAATCTCAGCTCTCAGATACATGGCTATCAACGAAATTTCGTGTAATCTTCAATTTTTTATTGCCTCTATAAGCATCCAGAAGTGTTCTCCATCCAGAAAAATGTCGAAAGGGGGCCATCTTGGAGAATATTCAAATAAGATGATATAGTCGATGATATACCTACTTTATATCCAATGTCTGAAAATTCTCCAAGATGGCCCCCTTCCGACATTTTTCTGGATAGAGAACACTTCTAGATGCTAATAGAGGCAATAAAAAATTGAAGATTACACGAGATTTCGTTGATAGCCATGTATCTGAGAGCTGAGATTTCAAACATTATCATCCGCCATTTTGTTTTGGATGAATATTTTCATCTGAAAATCTGGGGTTGTATAGAGAATTGGGAGACCTTCAAAATGAGGTATCATTTGACCTCCCATTCTATTTAAAAAAAAACTTTCGAAATGGCGCTCAGCCGCCATTTTGAAAGATACATATTTTTTATCGGTGTCAAAATGTAGTACCTAAACTACCATGTGACCAAACAAATTTTGAAAAAAAATTCTCAGCCGTTCAAAAAATAACCAGGGGGGGTGACTTTATGGACACAGTGTATATTATTCTCAGGACAATTCATATGATCAAAATTATGAACGTCGAAAATTCCATCAGTTCCTAAATTCCCTTGAGCATCATTTTACTGAATTATATAAATTCTTTTGTTCTGGATTTGCAGTTGAGTTTTGATTATGGAATTCTGAAATATCCTGAATTTTCCTGCAATTTTCTTCTGAGATAATTCATGTAATTTTCAAATGGAAAACAGGAAAATACATTTATAGTGCCATACATTTTCACATCATCAACCAAGTGAACAGGGTGTCCCAAATTCGAGGGGTATCATTGGGATCTTGGTAACCATAACAGATAAAAAATCGGTTGAATTAGGGCAAAGTTGCGCAATTTGATGCTGATCAAAATGCCGCCTCAAAAATTTGGAAATTCCGAATACTTCCGAAGATATTTGGAAAAACCGAATGTTCATAGATTCTGTATTATTATTGCCACTTTTCCGCTCTATCCAATGATACTAATAGATTTGTGATCCGACGTTTCGTCTTTGAGGAGCCCCATCATCAACTCTGTTTTTTTTAAGTTCGATAAATTTTTTTTGTCCTAAAAAACTATTCAATTCTGAATCTAATGATATACTTCACCTTACAATAATCCGACGTTTCGGACCAAAAAATCATCATCAGTGTTATTCGATGATGTACGAGAAAACGAAACGTCGGATCAAAAATCTGAAGAGGGCATCTTGCACAAAAGGAAAAATTGCTGCGAAAATGTCAAATTCATTCTGGTTTCTCTATTCAAGTTTCCTATAAAAAGTTACCTTTTCTCGAAGTTTCTAATTCCAAGAAATGTTTTTTTTTTCTGATGTTACTAAAAGTTTACATTTTCGTAGCTATTTTTCCTTCTCTACAAGTTGCCGCCATCAGATTTTTGATCCGACGTTTCGTTTTCTCATAACCATCATCAAATAACACTGATGATGATTTCCAGTTTCGAAACGTTGGATGATTGTTAAGTGCAATATGTCGTTGGATAAAGAGTTTTTAAAAAATATTGTTTTCGGCCATTTAAAAAAACGAAGTTGATGATGGCTTCTCATAGACGAAACGTCGGAACACAAATCTATTGATACCATTGAATAGAGCGGAAGAAGTGGCAATGATAATATAGAACTTATTTTGTCATATCACTCCGAATAAAGTCAAAAAAATATAAACGAAATCGCGAATATTTGTTTTTTTTTCAAATATCTTCGGAAGTATTCGGAATTTCCATACTTTTGAGGCGGCGTTTTGATCAGCATCAAATTGCGCAACTCTCCCCGTATTTAACCGACTTTGTGTCTGTTATTATTACTGAGATCCCAATAATACTCCTCGAATTTGGGACACCCCGTACATTGAAAGCAACAAAATCTCTACCATGCTGATTGAATGACGAATTTTTTCAAATATTCATCTGCAACACCCATATATTTTCCAAGATCCCCATGTATATATTTGAATTTGTAACAACCAATTCTCTGAGCTTCTTGTTTGTCTCTGAAATCACTGGCATTAAATAGACGTTAGTTGAAAAAGGGGACATAGCTGTATGAAATAATGTTTCATATTCAAGCATAAGTCAATTTTAAACATGTTTATAACCTAAATATCCATTCCAAAAAAAAATCCATTCCGAAAACACATTAGAAGCAATTAAGTTCTGCAATAAACAAAATATGTGATTAAGAAATGATTGACACCAAATCCAAAAAAAAAACAATAAAATCATATGGTTATGCATGAAATTTCACCTAATTATTTGTTGGAATATATTTTCTTCCATAAAGAATGATTTGGCACCATATCACAGAAATAACTAAAATTCAAATTCTTGTTCGTTAAAAAAACATTTCAGAAATTATCTACGTGTTTGTTGGAATAGATTTTTTTCCTTTGATCAACCTTGTGGAAGCAAATTTGAGCCATTCTTTTATGACATTACATAATTTGTACTCATCTATTTCTCTTGAGGGAAAAGCATACTTCACAGCATCTGTAAATAAAGTGGATAATCTATGTTAATTACAGAGTATCTGGAGTGATACGCAAAAGTACACCAGATGATTCAACAAATGAAATGAATGCCTATTGCTTTTCGAAAACAAGTAGAAGGGCACAGAATTTGATTTTAAAATGTAATTCTCGTATTGAAACATCTGTATGAAATCCATAGCTTTAGAAATGCAACTGAATAAAAAACTTGCATGCATTCATTGTTCATATACAGGGTTATTCAAATTCAATGCTCTTCATTGGGAAATTCAAGAATTTTGAAAGATGTAAAGATGGTTGAATTGGGGCAGTTGTGGACTTTCATACTCATCAATAAGTGAAGGAAAGTGAAAGTCCTTTTCGTACTATGCTTATTTGAAAAATTTATCTATCTAAAATTTTTTCATGATCCACACATTCTCAGCATTGTAATTCGACTTTTCAACTTGAACAGTAGAATGGCCGAATTCTTAAACAGCAAATATCTTTTTGAAAAGTGACAATGAGAAAGTGCACTCAGTTTTTTGTATCTCCATTAATCAAGGGTGAAAAAAAAAAAAAATTGGAATTAAAAATGTTTTCAATTCTTCTCAAATGCCTAGAAAACAAAAGACTATCATGGATTTCCTTCCACTCCATAAAAATGAGCATGAAATTGTGGAATTGCCCAAATTCAACCTTCTTTGCATCATTCATGGTTCTCGAGACTCCAATGATGAGCATTGAATTTGAAAAACCCTGTAGTAGTATTGTCTTGAAAAAATTCTATTCTAGCTCAGATTTGGAGCCTGATATTTTTCATGGTTATTTTCACACTATCTAATAGGTAATTTGATTTGGACACTGAGATAAATGCTGTCAAGAATTTCCATTGAATTGGCTATGAAAGTAATTGAAATGAAAATATTGCGTTGAATCTAAGCTCTTATTTTTTTCATAACTTTTTAGCTATTTTATGGAATACCTATGAATTAAAAATTCAATTTTCTATTATATTCTTATTTTCAATAAAGTGTGAAATCCCCGAAGCCATGACAAGGGTCAAGGGGAGAGAATGGCCATTGATTTTTCACCCTTCTATACATACAGATAATTGCTAAATCTGCTGAGCAAAAAATATATTCATAAAATATTGGCTAGCTGATCCAAGAAAAATGACCAAATTTCTGAAGGTACTGCAAATCTTTACCTAATATCAGCTGTTTATAATATCAGACAGAAGATATTTCAGCATTCTTCTTGTATGGCTTTCTGTGCCAGACCCACCAAGAGTGGCTAATTTTCTTACCTAAAAACAAATTATTTACATTATACAGGGTGATTCACTTTCCTGAAGCAGGACTTCCAACAACTAATAAAATATCTTATATCAATGAAAAGTTCCTACAAACGTAATGGTCATAAAATGCTTCATTTATGAGATACAGGGGCATTGAAGTTAAAAATTGGCATTGTCACCCGATAGTAATTTTCCCGAGAATATCCAAAAAAGATAATAAGGAGTCAGCTAATCTTTTCTTACATTCCAGGTCTTCTGAAGATGGCAACTACCAAAATATGTATAGATCTACTAAATATTTTTGTTTGTATTTGATGACATATTGCGAAAGTTTCATGATACCTATTATATAGCTATAGAGTACTGATATCTCAAAAGGAATACCCATGAGACTCCTGCATTAAATTTTTGGAGCCAAATTTGGATTTTTTGATTATCATTTTCAAAACCATTGCATCCTATCAAATTCTATTCAAATAATATTTCTTGTGATACTACTAGTTTATTTCCTCTCAGGTAAATAATTCACGAGAATATTTTGATTTTTGTTCAGCGGTTCATTAGTAATTCATAGTAAATATTTATTTTCAAATTCAAGGTCCTGTATCTTCTAAACAAAGCTTTTTACGACCCCTTTCAACTGTTCTCCCAAGAATAAGTTTTCTATGGATAGAAGAAAAACTATGGACTATGCTGTAGAAGAGAACACTAAAAACTATTATAACCTTTGGAACCAGTTAAACTGGGGAGAGCATATGTAAAAAATTCATCATTTCACATTTTATTATTTTATATCTGTGAATTTGGAAATGTAGTGGCAACTCTACATAATCATATGGCAACACTGTAGGTCATATTACTGTCAATTGTCTTATATTATTTCTGTCAGTTGTACTTGTCATGTCAATCAGATCAGATGTCAGTGTCTTAGAATTTCCCGCGTAGGTTGTCGACGCTCATCACGAGTTTGCTCAAATCATCAGTAGAAAATGATATTATTCTTGCTAGTAGTCTTGTTTTAAATGTTATCCAGTTCAGATAAATTTGCCGCTAAATAAAGTGAACATCAGTTGAAGTGCTGGTTTTTATTATAACAATACGAGTAGGATTGTGTGAGGTTATACCGACACAAACCCTACATTGGTGACCCCGACTACAAAAAGAAATGCCTAACCCGCAGCAGGAGCAGCAACAGCAAGCATTGCAGGCACAGCAAGCATTGCAGGCACAACAGGCCTTGCAGGCACAACAAGTTTTACAAGCACAGACTCAGCAAGCTCAGCAGGTACAACAAGGTCAGCCAACGGCTAACAGCAATGACGCCCTATCAGTTGCTCGAGTTAGTGTTCGAGCCCCTCCATTCTGGCCAGAAAAGCCAGCACTGTGGTTTTCTCAACTCGAAGGCCAATTTCATTTGAGTGCCATCACTCGTGATGAAACTCAATTTGCCTATGTCATTGCACAGTTGGAAAGCAGATATGCTTCAGAAGTAGAAGATATTATTATCAATCCACCACAGCATAATAAATATAATACCCTGAAGCAGGAGCTCATTAAGCGTTTGTCATTGTCACAAGAACAGCAGACCCAGAGGCTGGTGGAACATGAAGAGCTTGGTGATAGGAAACCTTCACAGTTCCTTAGACATTTAAGAGGTTTGGCAGGAACCAGCATTCCTGATAGTTTTTTAAGATCTCTTTGGTTGAATCGCCTACCAAATAATGTGAGAGCTATACTAGCCACTCAAAGTGCAACACCACTGGATGATGTTGCTCAACTGGCAGACAAAGTCATGGAGATATCATCAAAACCACAAATTGCAAGTGTCTCTAGTGTGGGCATAGATCAGGTTACTGCACTTACAAATCAGGTTGCTGAACTTACTCGCCAAGTTGCAGCACTTACAACTCGAGGCAGTTACCAACAAATTCGAAATCCTAGACAGAGGTCCAGATCGAGAAATAATGAGCATAACAGGGAACGTAGTGCATCCAGAGACGTATGTTGGTTTCATAGAAGATTTGGTGTACGAGCAAGAAGGTGTACAACTCCATGTAATTATACACAAGATACAGCACAGGAAAATTAGCAAGGCAGTCGTGTATTTCGGTGGGTACCGACTGCCATAGACGTGCCAACCGCCTAGTATTGACTGATAAGATTACAAAAATTCAATATCTTGTTGATACTGGTTCAGACTTGTGTGTATACCCTAGGACATTTTTGAAGAATCGTTACAGCAAGACTACATATGAACTATATGCTGCAAATGGATCTATCATAAGTACTTATGGTACTATTACCATAGTACTTGATTTTGGGCTTCGACGCGAATTTGTGTGGCGTTTTGTGATAGCTGACGTTACTAAACCTATTGTTGGTGTAGACTTTCTTGCACATTTCGGTTTACTTGTGGACATTCGTGAACAAAGACTCTTGGACTCCATTACTAGCTTGAATGTTTCTGCTCAAAAGTGCACAGACTTACAACCAAATGTCAAGGCAATTAGTGGTGACTCTGTTTATCACACACTTCTCAGTGAATTTCCTGAAATCACAAGACCTGAAGGTATTCCACGTGTATCAAAGCATAGTACTGTCCATCATATTCGTACAACCCCTGGACCACCTGTTTCATGTAAACCTCGCCGTTTAGCTAGTGATAAATTAAAAGCTGCTAAACATGAATTTGATGCAATGGTGAAACTAGGTATTGCCAGACCATCTGATAGTTGTTGGTCATCTCCCTTGCATTTAGTCAGCAAGAAAAATGGTGAGTGGCGCCCCTGTGGGGATTACCGCCCTCTCAATGCTAGGACTGTCCCAGATTGTTACCCTGTTAGACATATCCAGGATTTTTCACAGAATCTGGCTGGTCAAAAAGTGTTTTCAAAAATTGACCTAGTCAGAGCTTTTAATCAAATTAAAGTTGCTGAAGAGGATATCCCAAAAACTGCTATAACCACACCATTTGGGTTGTTTGAGTTTGCCTATATGACATTTGGTCTACGTAATGCAGCTCAGACCTTCCAACGTTTTATGGATGAAGTTGTAAGGGGATTAGACTTCTGTTTTGTGTACATAGACGATATTTTGGTGGCATCAGAATCAGAAGAACAACACATTCAGCATCTGCACATACTTTTTGAGAGACTCAAAGAATATTGTGTTCTTATAAATGTGTCCAAGTGTGTTTTTGGTACTAAACAGGTAGAATTTCTTGGATTCCTTGTGTCAGAAGAAGGTATACAGCCTACCCCACAGAAAGTTAAGGACATTATGGAGTTCTCACAGCCTAGAACTATCAAACAGTTACGTAAGTTTCTTGGCATGTTGAACTTTTTCAGAAGATTCTTGTCAGAAGCTGCCACCTTACAAGCTCCCCTCAATAAATTGCTTGAGGGCAAAGTAAAAGGCAATCAAGAAATTATTTGGACCCAGGAGCTGCAAAATGCTTTTATAGCATGCAAGAATAGTTTGGCTCAGGCAACTGTACTGGCACATCCAGATTCTTCGTATTTACTTGGCCTGTATACTGATGCCTCTGATGTTGCAATGGGAGCAGCACTGCAGCAACATACTGAAAAAGGTTGGCAACCCTTGGCACTATATAGCAAGAAACTTAGTCCCTCACAGCGAAAATATAGTGCATTTGATAGAGAATTGTTGGCTATCTATTCTGCTATCAAATATTTTCGTTATCAGTTGGAAGGCAGAGACTTTGTGATATTTACTGACCATAAGCCTCTTATCTTTGCTTTTAATCAAAAACCTGAAAAAGCATCTCCTCGGCAGTTTAGATATCTTGATTATATTGGACAATTTTCTACAAATATACAGCATGTTTCTGGAAGGGATAATGTGGTAGCAGATTTCTTGTCCCGTATTGAGGCCACTGAAGAAGCTGTCAACTTCACTGCTTTAGCTGAGTCACAAGACAACGATGAAGAACTGCATAATTTGTTAACCAAAGGTACAGCCTTGAAGTTACAGAAGATAAACATTCCTGGAACCGAAGTAAGTCTCTTCTGTGATACTTCCATGCCAAATCCAAGACCATTTGTCACTGCACCATATCGAAAACAAATTTTTGATGTACTGCACAATTTATCTCATCCTGGTATTCGAGCATCAGCTAAACTAGTTCGTGAAAGATATGTCTGGCCTGCTATTAACAAAGACTGTAGAAATTGGTCAAAATCATGCATTCCCTGCCAAAGATCAAAAATTTCAAGACATGTAAAATCTCCTCTTGGAAAGTTTCAACTGCCAAGTGCAAAGTTTGAGCATATACATATTGATATTGTTGGACCTCTTCCTTCATCAAATGGATATAGGTATTGTCTAACCGTAGTTGACAGATTCTCACGCCTTCCTGAAGCATATCCAGTATCTGATATTACAGCAGAGGTCATTTCAAAGACTTTGTACAATTTTTGGATCTGCAGACATGGTGTTCCTCTCCGTATCACTTCAGACCAGGGACGTCAATTTGAATCAGAACTTTTCAGAGCCCTATCTAATTTATGTGGAATTCATCACATCAGAACTACTGCTTATCATCCTCAAGCTAATGGCTTAGTGGAAAGGCTGCATCGTAATTTGAAAGCAGCAATTAGATGCCATGAGAACGATAATTGGGTGGAAGTATTGCCAACTATTATCATGGGAATACTTGGCGCTTATAAAGATGATTTAAAAGCAACTCCTGCTGAAATGGTTTATGGTCAGCCCATTAGACTACCTGGAGAGTTTTTATCACCTCAAAGCAACAATATTGATCCTGTAACATATGTTACTCAGCTTCGAAGATACTTCAATAAATTACAACCAGTGCCTGGCTCTCGACATAACAAAGAAACTGTTTTTGTATATAAAGACCTGGCAACAGCATCTCATGTGTTCATACGGGTTGACATACCACATTCTTCACTCCAACCTCCATATGAAGGTCCATTTCTAGTGATAGAGAGGAGAAATAAGCAATTTGTCATAGATATTCGAGGTAAGCCTACCACAGTATCTATAGATAGAATTAAACCTGCTTATGTATTGGGTGATTTCCAACACATACCTAAAGGACAGCAGATCCATCAAGGACATGATGAGGACCTAAGTTCAACACAGTCATCAATGCAGTCTACACAACCCTTGAAGCAGTCCATAATCCAGCAGTCCACACCACCTTTAACTAGAACACAATCAACTAGATCTGGCAGACGTGTTCACTTCCCAGAAAGATTCACTCCAGATTAGTGTTCCCCAGTGTTTGTGTTCTGCATTTTAGTATTTAGGCGTGCTATTTTCTATCTACAAAATCAATTTTTTTTTGTTCCTATTTGTTTAAGCTACGATTTTAGAATAATCTTGTAAAATTTAAATTTCCTGCTGAAATTCAAAGGGGGGGAGTGATGTAGTGGCAACTCTACATAATCATATGGCAACACTGTAGGTCATATTACTGTCAATTGTCTTATATTATTTCTGTCAGTTGTACTTGTCATGTCAATCAGATCAGATGTCAGTGTCTTAGAATTTCCCGCGTAGGTTGTCGACGCTCATCACGAGTTTGCTCAAATCATCAGTAGAAAATGATATTATTCTTGCTAGTAGTCTTGTTTTAAATGTTATCCAGTTCAGATAAATTTGCCGCTAAATAAAGTGAACATCAGTTGAAGTGCTGGTTTTTATTATAACAATACGAGTAGGATTGTGTGAGGTTATACCGACACAAACCCTACAGGAAATTTTACAGATTTTACATAAAAAAGGTATGTTTCACAAGAATGCAGAAATTTTGACTCACCATGTATGTCCATAATGCTTGATCATCCCTGAGTTTCAAGTCAAATTCCTGAAAGTTCAGCAGGATTGTGAATGGAAAATCTGGTAAGTCAACAGGTGGCACTAGGTTTTCAGCTCCAGTCATACTAGTGCGTCTATTTATTTCAGCCAGCAGAATTGAATGTTGGGAAACACTGGCAGAAATTTGGCTCAATGTTTGTAGAACAACATTCTCGAATTCTAAAAAAAAACATAGACATGGAAATTAATTGGGAATAAAATCATTGATAGAAAATATAACAAGTATATATGAATTTTGGAAAACATTAGTGAATTCTGAGTAGGTATGCATATCAGCAAGTTTACCTGTGTTTTTTGCCAGAGGAATAATACTACTTCTAGCTCTGGAGCTGCAAGAAACAATGGAAGAGGGCCTTGAAGACATTTCTCCATCAGAAATAATATTATGCTGTGAGGAATGTGACAACTGAGACAATGACATATTAATTTCATCGTCATCCAGCCGCATTCTCTTGGCACCTTCATCTTCACAAATGAATGTTGAGGGTGAATTAGTCACATCAGGAATATTTTTAGATACTTCTGGTGTGGAAAGGATATTTGGGGATAGACTCCTAGAGCAGAGTGATTCATCAGACTCATTAGGGATGCTTTTTTGGCATAATGATATATTAGAATCAGCAGATTCATAGTTGTCTGTCAAAATGTTTTTCAAATTGTTATCTGCTTGTTCATATGTTGCTGAAACAGATCAGTTGAAATCAAACTGAAACATAATTTATTGGGAACACTTACCACAGGTGAAATGACATTTCACCCTATAAGTAGGCCAGGTCTTTTTGAATGGGGTGAGGCTCTCAACAAATTTTTGGAATGGAATTTTATTGGTGCGGTTTGGCCAATAACATTTGGTTTGGTTCTTGTGTAACCACATCAATGGCACAACAGAAATTTCTCCAGTCGACTCCATGTCAGATTTCAAAAATTCCACAACGGCGAACATGATTTTACTGGTGAAAATCAGAGAATTTATAGTGGTATAGAGGAAAGGCTGCAAAACCTTCTTTATATGGCATAGTCATGCATTTGTGTGAAATGTCACATATATTAAATGTTGTTGCCTTAGATTCATTCACTTTTTTTACATAAAATATTCCTAACTTTCTTGAGTCTAGAGGATATGTATATAAATCATCATGGTATGTGAAAGGCTCACCCTCAAATACATATGTACCCTCAATACATCTGATGAATTTTAATAAATATATTTTCTTGCATTTCAACATAATGCAGTTGTTTGGTGCAAATATAGTTAAGAATGTATCATCAAATTGCAACCGTTCACAATCAAATGAAATCAGTTTCCCTTGAGCATTATAAACTGAATTATATAAATTCTTTGGTTCTGGTTTTGAAGTTGGGTTCTGATTATGGAATTCAGAATTAGTATGGTCCTGTTCCTGAATTCTCCTATGCAGTTGCTGTAATGGTTTATTTGCAGAGTGCAATTTTCTTTTGAGAGAATTCATGTAATTTTCAAATGGAAAACAGGAAAATTCATTTATTGTGCCATACATTTTCACATCATCAACCAAGTGAACCAAACTATGTACATTGAAAACAACAAAATCTCTACCAAACACATCAGCTGATTGAATGACGAATTTTTTTAAATATTCATCTGCAACACCAATATATTTATCAATCAAGTCCCTGTCAGTCAGAATAAAAATAGCACAATGTAGCAATAAAATCAACTTGTACTGAACACTATTGATAGCATTATGAAAAATCACTGGAAAGGTGTACATAATGAAGAGTTTGAATTCTGTAGCTTTCCACCTTCGAATTTCCTTAAATGTTCTACATTTTCTAGGAAAATCTGATGTTATATAATCATGTGTAATAGCTACTTTCTCTTCAATTTCATTAATGAGTTTTTGTGACAACTTAACAGTAGAAGTATCAAAATAATAATTTACTAATAACCTTTTAACTACACCCAAGAAAAGTAAGTGCATGGGGTCCAAAGGAAACTGTGTTATTAGTTTAATATCTGCTCTTAAAAGGGGACTCTTTCCTTTGATATATTCACAAGTTGGTTCATTCAAGAAGTCTTGATCCAACTTCTGATCAAACAATACGAGTTCATCTTGGGCATATATTATGCGGTGTTTTTCATAAATACCAACAATTTGACATTTTTCACATCCCAATTTTGAAGTATGACCAACAGTTTGACGTAGATAACTTCTAGCGGGAGCATCACAAATGAAGAAATGTATATCAAATGAAAATAGGTTTTCATTATAATTAATACCAGTTTGCTTCAAGGAGATGATTTCTTCCAAAAATTTATCTAAGTAAGTTGTTAAGGGGTCTGGTTTACCTTTTCCACAGAATAAAGCAATTGTAAATGGAGAATTTTCTATTAAATCTGGGCACATACCCAAAATAGGATACAACTCAGTTGAACTACTTTTAAAAAGTGGTAATCCATCAATATTAACTTGTAACAGAATAGCTTGTACATTCTTCCTAAAACCATATTTTAATTTTTTCAAAATATTATTTTCAATACCAAAATAGTGCATATTGCCATTTTTTAATTTAGTAGTTTTGGTTTGTCGAGGAGTTCTCATAAGAGTTCGATAATCTCTAGGCAGGGAAGGTAAAACAGGATTCAGTATACATAAGAGGGAAGTTATGGAATTGCGAGTTAAATTATATTCATTAACCCATTCCCTGAGCTTCTGGTTCATCTCTATAGCAACATCTGAGGCAACATGTATATTATTTTTAGAACAACTTATATGATCAAAAGTACGAATGAGCCTACTAGTACTAGGTACGTCGGAAGTTTCATCTGGAAGAGGGACTTCCAAATGAACAACATCACTAGAATTCACTGCATTTGAGGAATTAGATGGTTCACTGATTGGATTCATTTGATTTTTCCAGTGTTCAGCTTGTTTTTTTATTTTTCTTTGTAGCTGCCTCTTTCCTACTAATTTGTTCGTTAACATTGTGACTCTTGACCAAGCTCTTGACTTATTAATTATATGTCTTGAAGATTAAGTATACGGATTATAACAGATTCCTACTTATTAAAATTGATTCCTCCTTCCTCACAACCACTTACAATTCTGTGGAAGAATGCTAAATTCTGAAGATTCCTAAAAAATTACCTATTATTACTAGTGTGTATTAGTAGTGGCGTCGGTAATAAAGAGTTCATATACATTTTATTATTATTAAGTACAGGGTAGGCAAAATCAGGCGTTTTCACGGGTTATCTCGATATCTAAAGGAGTTATCGAAAAACCAATATACATGTTATGAGTTCCAACTGAAGTCTATCCTACTTACATAATGTCATGGTTAGGTAGAGTGGGTACACCACAGTCAAATGGGGGGAGTTACTGCATACTAGCTACTAGCGGGTTTATCGGAGAAAGGGCCGTGCCCCAAGAAATAAAGAATAATAGAGAATAAATCTAAGTAGGTATCTACACAGTGGCGGATATTTGAGTTCGGTGGCCAGGGCCCCTACAGACAATATTATCATGTCATTTTCAGACACATAAATCATGGCCTACTCACAATTAACTTTTTGAATGATTAGATAGGTAGGTACCTAATCAATGGTTTGCATATAAAAATCGAAATAGGTATCTCGATAACTAATAATTATAAGTGATTTTCGTTACTAACATAAAATATAGTTGACAAATAAGGTGGTTCAAGATTCGGAATTCTGACCACCCTGTATTTTTTTCAATTAAATATCAGTAGATAGTGAATCAAAAGTTAAGATAGGGACATGTAAGCCGTTTTGACTAATAATGAATAGTTTGGACAGAAAAAATCGTAAAGTTGGAAAATCTCGATTTTCAACACCCTATATCTCTGTAATCATTTCCCACTAGACCCCAAGTGAGATGTATTGATGAAATAAGCTCTCCAGGGAGAATCTAACAATGCAATGAAATACAGGGTGTTCCATTTGAAATAACAAAGTTGCTGCTACTTTCCAGTAGAAGCGGCAACACTGCATTGTCGAAAATATTCCAAATGAAGAGAGCATAATGTCCAATATTATAGGCATGCACATTTTCATGAATTTCTTCAGACAGATTCTCGATATAAAGATAGTGTAAGCTCGTCGTGACATACCCGTATAGGTTCTTCATGGAAAATTGGTTATAACTTTTTAACTACCCTGCAGAACACACAATAGGGAGGAAGTCAAGCAGATTTTAAAATTCGAAAAAAATATAACTTTGATTTAGCACAGTATTCTGGAACACCCTGTAACATTGTAAATAATTTAAGAATGTGAAGAGTCACCCTAATCAATCACCCTGTATATTACTAGATTATTTTCATCTTAGAGGATTATAATATAGGACTAGGTATATCATGAGATTGGTCCAATGGTTCTAGGACAAGCCATAGGCAAGTCCTGGATTCCTGGAAGTCTGTGAGTCAAAACAAAACATTTTCGGGAGTGTTGTGCACAATATTTTTTCGGCAACCTTGTAGAATAACAAATCAATGTGAAGAATAAAAAAACATGCAAACTTTAGACAAATAATTCCATATGAACTGTCAGCCAATATTTCGGTGCTATGACAATGATCAACTGCATTTATCAAAACCATGATATCAACACCATACCTACCAAGATTTTCATATTTACCAATGACAACAAGGAAGCACCACTCTCTATTCTGTGGAAGCACCTACCCAAGGTCCATAAACAATACAAGGTTACCTCATATCAACTTCATATCATAGCTTTTAGGCAAGGGGTGCGCGGGAGCGGGGCCGATTTGTGAAGTAACTGTTTCCCTATCTCAAGGTTTGTTTATGCAGATAAATGTCCACCTGTGCGGAAACAAAAGACAATAGGGGAAACAGTGACGTGACGGCCATGAAATGAGGTAACCTTATAGTGTTTACAGGCCTTGATACCTACCTACCTAGGTATCTGTTTGTAAAAGTCAAAAGACTTAAGGATACTAAAAACCTGAACTACTTGAATACCCACTTCATGAGAAATTGCCATGGCGTCAACTCATTTGAGATAGCTAAAACTTGTACCTACCTACCAATAAAAAATGGCATGCACCAATATGAAAATAAAATTAAAATTTGGTTATGTTGTTGAAATGTTATATTTTGGAAATAGGTGTCCCTGATTGCTTATTTAATTAGCCAAGTTTCATAAAAAAATGTTAAAACGCATTTAGGAATCAGGTAGGTAGGTTAGGTTGGTATATTTAAAAAAAAATTGATGATATGAAAATTCAACACCCTGTAATGGCATGGCTAAGTTATTAAAACTTTCCATCCTAGTCAAATGTAAGGAATAACCATACTTTTGAAACACCCTGTACCTATATGAAGTGAAAAAAAGAACACCCAAATCCAAATCAAGATGAATTTTACATGTAGGTAGGTAGGTATTGTTCTCGGTATTGTTCTTTTAAGTGGGGCACACTTGTACCTACCTATAGAAAATATGAAGGAAAGAAAATGACAAGCCGTTATGCCGAGCATTTTATACCATTCAGGAATGCATTTCTTTACTTATCTACCCAAACCCTGTGGGCACATGTCGGGCACACTTACGTTGAAATAACGTTGAGAAAGGTAAAATAATGTTGTGAAAGTGACGCGACCGAACGTTAAAAATCGGTAAAAATGTCGCGGGAATTAACGTTTCTCCGCTCAAAATAATATATCAAAATTAAGCGTTATTTTTCAACGTTGTCATTTTGGTTGATATGTCTAACGTATTTTAGATACGTGTAAATAACATTTCACATAACGTATTCATCTAACAGTTCGTGTGAAACCAAGTGAGAATACGTTGTTTGTCTAAGTTATGTATACGTTGATATGGAACGTTATTTCAATATTGCTATAAAACCATTCATCAACCAGTAATAGACAGAACACGTTGATGATACCTATGTATAATTCATAACGATATTATTGTGTTATTATATAACGTTATTATAACATATTATTCATACAAATAGTTGTTAAATTTGGTAACTTAGCAATGTTGAAATAACGTTCCATATTAACGTATACATAACTTAGGCAAACAACGTATTCTCACTTGGTTTCAACACGAACTGTTAGATGAATACGTTGAGTGAAATGTTATTTACACGTATCTAAAACACGTTAGACATATCAACCAAAATGACATCGTTGAAAATTCAACTGGTAACGTAAATTACACCGATGCAACCTTAAATCAACGATAATTCAACCTACGTGTGCCCATTGGGAATATTTCACAACCGCACTTTGGAAAACTTTGGAAAACTAGGTTATTTTAGAAGAACTTTGCATGCAATGCGAGGAACAAATGGAATAAGGAATTCAACTTCCAAGCAAGAGCTCAGGGCCCCTATATGCCCCCCATCGCAGGGTGTGCAGTATGAATACATACCGACAAAGGTATATTATCATTATCCGCCACTGTAGATACCTACCTACATTGATATCAGAATATCTGAAATACCTATGTACCTATCTTATCTCATACCTAATTATAATTGAAGTTTTACTCACCCAGAAGTATTATGTTCGGTGTTCGGTGCCCAGAATGTAAGGAATGCAGTTGAAACTGTCGAAATTCGAAATCCGCAATCGGCGTCCCTTCTTGAGAAAATGGCGCTAGGGATACAGCACAGCACAGCCTTGAGGCAAAGGCAAGACACAAGACCCACTAAAACAAGATAACTGAGACTAGAATAACAGTCCCTCAAACATTTTTTTATCACTATTTACCTGCAAAATCACAGACAGACCACTTTTATTGTGCATTGGTAGCCATTTTACCCATAACCATTTCCAGCCTTCCACTTTCGACTCTTTCTTCAACTAAATAACAAAATACCGCCAATCCAATTGGAATACCGGCATTACCGGCAAAACCCATCAAGGCCAAGCCAGGCTGGCTGCGTGTGCTGTTGCTGAGGGCATACCACGTGACACGGGAATACGTCCATTGTTGCCACAGTTTATAATTTCTACTACTCTTGTGGAAAAAATACATAAATTTCACAGAATGCAGAGAACTGCATCAAAAAAATAATTCCTTGATATCCAGTTGCCAGTTCTATTTATGGAAAATGTTTTTTATAAACTCGAAAAACAAAAATATTATTATACCTAAAAATTTTTTGTTCTAAAATTTGTTCTATCCGTCATTCGGTTGCCCCCTTACGAGCAACCCTCAAAAGTCTTCGAAAGTCTTGTGCGAGCAAGGAATGACGGGGGCCTTACCTTTTAACGTGTGATCCCAAACACTTTCTTGGGCCATCAGAAAAATTTCTGCAGTCGACGGGACTCGAACCCACGACCGGCAAGCGAATGCGAATTAGAATATAGACACTCTGTCCGCACGGCTACCTGGCCTACCTATATTATACCTACCTACCTACCAACTAGGTAGGTATATATATTATTACAAAATGAATACAGATCTATATACAGAGTGTTTGAAGCATATGTGTCGAAAGAGGCTAATTCTAAGAGCATCTCAGAATATTCCGAGATCATAAGTCGGAATTCCGAGAAACTAAGTCGGAATTCCGACATAATTAAGTAATAAGTCGGAATTACTCAATTGGGAATTCAAAACTAGTTGCCAGCGCCATAATGGTGAAAGTTCGACCTTGGCATATTATGTACATCTGTATTTGCAGGTTACTTATACTGAAATTTAACGGTCATATTGAGTTTTTATTATTGAATATTTTCAATTGTAGTGTTGCGAGTTATATAACCTATATTTTCTAAAACGTATATATAATGTACATATGAATTCCCAATTCCGAGATACTAAACATAAATGTCCACTAATCCATCCGGTGATACGATTGTACGAAAGTGATGTGGTTGGTGGAAATATAAAGGGCGAAATCCGTCAGATTAAATGACGGACAATTGTTAAAATAGTTTCAACTTTCCTCCGACAACGCAACAAATGTTTGCCGTT